TTTTGATGCCTCTCCCCAGTCAGAGTGGCTTATCACGGCTCATTTAGAGAGAATCTGGAATCAGCATTTTGGGGCTTTGGAGTGTCATATCACAGCTTGATTAGGCAAATGCAAGTCTTCAAAACGGAGCAGTTGAAATATTGCGGTTTTGATGCCCCTCCCCAATGGCAGTGGCTTATCACGGCTCATCTAGAGAGAATCTGGAATCAGCATTTTGGGGCTTTGGAGTGTCATATCACAGCTTGATAGGCAGATGCAAGTCTTCAAAACGGAGCCTTTGACATATTGCGGTTTTGATGCCTCTCCCCGAAGGCAGTGGCTTATCACGGCTCATCTAGAGAGAATCTGGAATCAGCATTTTGGGACTTTGGAATGTCATATCCCCCCCACGCGGTACCCCCACCCCCACAGCTTGATTAGGCAAATGCCAAGTATTACACAGCAAACGGAGCAGCTAGCAGAGCAGCAGTTGAAAATCTTGCCCGAGTTTGATGGGCCCCAACCAATGAGGAAGTTTTTTTTTTTTTTTTTTTTTGGGCGTGGCTTATCACGGCCACTCATCTAGAGAGGAATCTGGAATCAGCATCGATTTTGGGGGCTTGTACGGAGTGTCATATCACAGCTGATAGGCCAGATCAAGTCATTGCAACAGGATTACCACATCTCCATAGCGTGTACAACCCTTCAAAACGGAGCCTTTGACATATTGCGGTTTTGATGCCTCTCCCCGAAGGCAGTGGCTTATCACGGCTCATCTAGAGAGAATCTGGAATCAGCATTTTGGGACTTTGGAATGTCATATCACAGCATGATTAGGCAGATGCAAGTCTTCAAAAAGGGCACCTCTGAAATGTTGCAGTTTTGATGCCTCTCCCCAGTCACATTGGCTTATCACGGCGCATTTAGAGAGAATCTGGAATCAGCATTTTGGGGCTTTGGAGTGTCATATCACAGCTTGATTAGACAGATGCAAGTCTTCAAAACGGAGCAGTTGAAATATTGCGGTTTTGATGCCTCTCCCCGAAGGTAGTGGCTTATCACGGCTCATCTAGAGAGAATCTGGAATCAGCATTGGCTCCATTTGGGCAATTCGAGGCTTCATTTCACCAATTCGAAGCCTTAATTTAAGCATTCATAGGCCCCATGTAGGCAATTCTAGACTCCATTTGGGCAATTCTAAGGCCATTTCAGCAAGTCCAAGGCCCCATTTAGGCAAGTCTAGGCTCTAAGTCTAGGCTCTCAAGCAATTCTAAGCCCTCTTTGACTCTCTTTGGGCAATTTTAGGCTTAGAAAGCAATTCTAAGCTCCCATGGCTATTCTTGGACGCTTCGGGCTGGGCTTGGTTTTTAGGTGGTCGGCCAGCGGGCGGGAAGGCTGGCTTCGGTTTTTGGCGCGCCGGCCGGCTGGCTGGCTAGTTGCGAAATAGTGAGCCGCACTACGCTCACAATGCACTTGCGCGCTTTCATCTGCTTCGGAAAAAAGTAATTTTGGCAGAAACTGGCATATATACAGATTCACACCTCTGACCAACTCGAAACACACCCCTGTAGATCTGAGACCCCGGCTGTTCGTGTAAGCGTCCTGGATCAACCAACTCTTCTGTCCACTCCGCGCAAATTTTCGGACTGGAGCCACTCGAATCGGCGATTGAGATTGCGGAGACCAAGACAAAATCCACGTCTCTTCCTCATCTTCTTGGAAAATTGGAAAGATCGTCTCGACCACCCAACATTTCAACTTCTTCACTTTTCCTGGACAAAATCCCATCAATCAAATGGGGCACGCCGGACCACCACGTCTACACTTTCATCACCAATCGTGCACCGAGATAATGGAAAACTTAGCGTCTTACCCCAGATTCCAATTCAAGCAGCAGGACGTAAACTGTCAGGAGTTAAACTGGTCTCACTCGTCAGAAGCAACATGCCAACACCCAGAATTATTGCGGCTTAAATGCGCTTGACGTGTTTTCTACTACTTGGCCCCACCAGCGCCTTGGAGCTTTTGAAGTTTTGACTTCTTGGAGTTCATCTCCTTCAGCTCCGATGGTCCGGCCATGGGCCATGGGTGGGTCAAAAATGATTGGCCAGCAGTTTTAATGGCCAACATATATCCGAAAAGTTGTGTTTTTTGTGGGCACCAAAAATTGACTCGCATCGTGTACCTATTTCAGATGGCAGGTATTGTTCTTCTTTTCGCCGTCGTTGTTGAACGTCAATAAAAAAACTGTTTCGAGGTGGGACGGGGTTCAGAATGGTTTCCTGTTGCGTCGGTCAACGAGACTTTGAAATCGGCACGGAAGCATTAAACCCCTAAGGGGGGTCCAGGCTAGCAAGGCGAAAGCAAGCTGGATTGCAGGATGCCTGCCTTCTTCTCACAGAATGGAAAAAGAAATTGGTGATGTTGGTGCTGAGGCAAAGAACAGGAGAGAAACAAAGAGGCCAACAAAATCAAAGATGTACAGAGGTTAAAGAACCAGGACCATACGTGCTAGGGTCCAAACATGGTATATAACATGATCATCCATCTCATAATGGTAATCCTTATCAGGGGTATACAATCCCTATGAATGGGTTCATGACAAATTGCTTTTATGGGAAAGTAACCGGTGTTTTTACCATAGCACATAAAACACAAAAAAAAGTAGAGAAACAAAACAAACAGCAAAAGCGAAACAGAAGGACTCAGAGAAGAAGAAAAGCAGAGAAACGAAAGCAGAGGAGCCGAGAAGCAAAGAAGCAGCAAAAAGCAGAAAAGCACAAAGAAAAGAAAAGCGGAAAAACGGAGAAGCAGAGAAGAAGCAAAGAAGCAGAGATGCAAAGAAGCAGAAAAAGCAAAAAAGAAGATAAGCAGAAGAAAAGCAGAGAACCAAAAAGAAGAAAAGCAGAGAAGCAAAAAAGCAAACAAGCAGAAGCACAAAAAAACAGAGAAGCAAAAAAAAACAAAAAA